CCTTTTCTTATCCCATCTTTGCACAGAGATCGTGGGTTGGCTGAGGCAAAGGTTGAGAGGAGATGGACAGCGCGATTGTCATGCCATTTCACTGCCCTGAGTTGGACTCCGTCATAGCTTGTAACAGGGATGCAAACACAGGTATGGTGAAAAAAGAGAGAACTATTCGAAGCAGAAAAAAAACAGCGTAATATACCGTCTGACAAAGGCCTGTGCTATTATGCTTCAATTAACTGGCTATTCTTTATAATATACTCAGATCAGTAGGAGACAGAGATGTTAAGTTATAAATCAAGGGGTTTTACTATTATTATTTACAGGTAGATATTATCGAGGGCGTAACTTTGGTTTAAGAAGTGGGGGACACACAAAACAGGGGGTCCTCCGCAATGAAACATATCTATTATCATTATATATAATGAGAGTGCAAACTTATCTAGTATCCTATCCATATGAACCTGTTTATTTGTGGGGGGACCTCACCTCCTCTAGGGGGGTCCGGGNTGTGTGTATGTGCCTGAATATCTGAGATGAATGGAAAAAGTTTGTGTTCACGTGTGTGTGTGTGTGTGTGTGTGTGTGTGTGTTTAAGCCCCCCCTCATGTTTGAGACAAACAAAATGTTTCATTTGCTGCTTGATGCTTTTTATAATTCTTTGGAAAACGATTGGAAAGTGATATAGTTGTTTGACTCAGTTGTTGAATGTGTCATCATACAAAGCTGGTAGAGAAGCATAGTCCTGCAGATCATCATGTCATGCACCATGACTTTCCTACAGAGACAAATGAAGGAGGATGATATACTGACTGTTAATAGTGTATCCTTAAGGATGTTGTTGCGGATCCAAAATAAGGCTGCTTTGTCAGTTTTAAAGCGCATTTTACTTTTATTTGGCCCTGCACACTTCTATGCACTTTTAAATTGCAGCTAGAATAAGAAGTGCCTCATCATTTAGTTTACCTTCAATGTTTTTTCATATATGATGGATCTTTATGGTATTGATTTTCCAAATAATCTATCAGTGCTTAAAAATGTCATTATACAGTATATCATTAACATATCTTCCTGATCTTACACATACTTTGTACTGCACTGATTCAGAGGCCTCTATCTGAAAGGAGCGGTCTCTCCAGCCCCTCACACAGACCTTTAGATCTGTTGTGATATGTTTTCACCTCGCAGTTCTGTAAAAAACTTACAGACATGGAACAGGAGGAGGAACACAAAACCGAGTCGACTTCTGTTTAGAAAAGGATTACATGCTGATGGTTTTGAAACAACACGCCTCCTTTGGTTCCACTCGGCTGACGTGCTTCTGAGCTGGCTCTGCTGCCAGAGGTGCTTCACACCGGTGTTGTGGACTGTCTGTGTGAAAGGGCTTTGTCTGCATGTCTTTCTTTCAATTTTCCGGACAAGGCTTTATCCAATGGCCTTCACGCTTGGTGGGTATATTGTTGAGAACCTAAGGAAATGCAGTGATGAGCATGAAGTTTGGGTTTCAAGAGACATGCAATAATGGTGGTTCCAACCATGCACAGCTGCCAGGCCCCAGACACTTTCATGCCGGTTTTTCTCACTGCAAACACTTAAAGTGACCACATATAGCTGTGTGCATCCAGTACATTAAATAATGTTACCTGCTGATGTGAATGCTATGTTTTTCCCTCTGCAGGTGTTACAAGAAGAAACCTCAATACCAGGCAGTGATCTGAACCTGATCTACCTGAGCTCAAGAGGTGCTGGATATAAACCTGTCCTCAAAGTCACCATGACACAGTCATCAATACCTTTCAACCTGATGAAGGCGAGTAATGTAATATCATATAATATCATATTTCCTCAAAGCCACTACAAATCGTGAAGCAAACAAATGAATCAATACAGAATGCTGAGGTTCAACGGCTCGAGTCAGCTAATCAGCACCACCCCGGCCCTTACCAGCATAACCCTGACCTGAGTCCCACGAGGTGACCTTTGTGTCTGCTGCTGTCTCCCCAGGTTCACCTGATGGTGGCTGTTGTGGGTCGCCTTTTCCAGAAATGGTTCCCTGCTCAACCAAATCTATCATACACCTTTATCTGGGACAAGACAGACGCCTATGGCCAGCGCGTCTATGGACTCTCGGAGGCCGTTGGTGAGTGAGCTGCTAAAAGCAAAGCTACACACAGACTGTCATCAGCATGTTCCTCTCAGATTGTGAAAAAAGCTGCTCCAAAGTTGAGGAGCATTTTACATTCTCATTCAGAGACTACATACATTCCCCAACAACTAACTACTGATCATTTTATTTTTTAAATGATTCCTGATTGGGAGCCAATAAAATGGTTGTAAAGTGTGAACTGCATTATGTTTGGGCCAAGAAAGACAAGAAAACTAGCTTTCCTTTTAAAAGACATAATGGTAAAGTAATAACAAATGTGGTTTCCCTAACGATTTTACAATTAGCTCTATGGTGTATTTGATATAAAAGAATGGAGGTTAATTTGTGTTTAGAGTAAAAGGTCAATGTATAATATGGCTACTCTCCCATTCATAAAAGCTCCTGCTTGTAGTTCTGTGAATATGTCTGAGCCTTAATGTTAACCAATAACCTGTAATTTAACAATACATTTTGGAAAGCATTGAAGTACAAGTGTTGAGAGAAAATGTACTGCATACAATGAAATTGCACCAACCAACACAACATAAGTCAGACAACATAATGTGCACAGCAACTGAGCAGATGACAGGGAGGAGGTTCAACAGTCTGTGCAGAAAGGCTCTGACAGGGAAATGGCTTGGACATAATGGGTATGTAAACTCTGACACCTTTATGAGGGACAAGTCCAGCAGAGGTACTTCACTGTGAGTTATGACTCATGGAAGCCCGCTTTAAGGGGACCAACAGAAAGACACGTTGCTGCATGTTTGGTAATACTCCTGAAATTGGTGCTTATAGTTGAAACTAAGATAGCATTCCACTGCAAAAACAGCCCTTCCAAAAACAATCAAAATATTCTTGAATCAAGTCAGATGTTCCTGTATCAAGCAAAACAATCTGCCAATGGGGTGAGCCACATCTGCTTGGCTAGAATTCTCAAAACTAGAATGAAAATCTAGCTACTGAAAGACCGTAATGGGCCTTGAAACTAGACACAAATGAAAAATGTAAGCACATTTTGCTTACTACAAGCAATGATTCCTGAATTATTTAAGAAATAATAACTTAAAATTAGTGTTTTGGTTGAGTTGACTAAGAATGTATTTCTTAAATTAACATTTATAATTAGCAAAGAAAGCTTACAATAAGGATCATTGGCTTTAATTGACACAATATATTAGTGACTGTCTTAAACTTAGAATGTAAATCTTAAATTAAGGTTAAAATTCTGCAAATAAAGCTTACAATAAGAATTCAATTATTTAATTGGCATAATATATTACATGACATGTTACTTGTATACCACACCACAGTTGTCTCAATGCCAATGTGAAAAGTGAATAGACAGATCTTGACAATGAATACATATATATTAAATGTAAAATTGGTGTCATTTCATCAGATTCTTAAATTGAGAAGTTGTTTGATGGTTTATTTCTTAAAATAAGAAAAAATAAATCTGTTCCATGCAAACAAATGCTGTAACTTGTTACTGGTTCATTCTAGCTCATAATAAGATAGCGTTTTTTAATAAGAAAAAGTCAGATATATTTTCTCAAAGTAAGAATACTTTTCTTAAGCAAAAGATTCTTAACAAGACCATTTTACTTTTTAGACGAAAAATAAGAATAAGAAAGTTTTTTTTAACCCATGTATGGTGTTAGGGTCTGTGGAACCAGTTTTCAGTGTGTGTGTGCGTGTGTAAATGTTATTTAACTCACTTTTAAGCTGTGAACAATGTCTCAGGTTTACATGAATGACTGCAGTGAATATACAAAGAATACACACTGAAAGGTATTCCAAAATCAACATGGTGGTCGATGTGTGTGTGTATCTGATGGATGAACATCATCTAGGGTCACCCATTCATTGTGTGTGTGTGTGTGTGTGTGTGTGTGTGTGTGTGTGTGTGTGTGTGTGTGTGTGTGTGTGTGTGTGTGTGTGTGTGTGTGTGTGTGTGTGTGAGTGTGTGAGTGAGACTTTTGTGTTTCTGCCCATGCCACAAGGTTGCGACATTGTTGATAAAGTCAAGCACCAACACATGTCTGCTCTCACATTCCTGCATTATGTTTTGCGGGAACCAATCTTAATTTTTTTCACACTCTATCCCAGCTGCAAGTTTGGGGCGAGACACAATAAATAAAGCTTCGCCAGTTTGGGTCCTTATCACAGCTGATCAAGATGGCCAAAAAATTCTCTGCTCAGAGGGCCTTGCAAATGATTCTGGAAGAGAGAACCAATTGATGATGATGGAAGAGGAAGAGGCTTCAGAATGTGAGGATCACATTTCTGAGAATTCTGAGTCTCACAGTGACTTTGAACAAGAGGATGAGATTGAGCATCAGCTAGTTACAAAGAAAAGACGAGCCACAGGACCAGCTGGTCAGCTGTAAGGAACCTTGGGGTTATATTTGATCAGGATTCATCCTTTAACGCCCACATAAAATGTATTTCAAGGACCGCCTACTTCCATCTACGTAACATTGCAAAAATCAGGCATATCTTGCCTCAAAACGATGCAGAGAAACTAGTCCATGCATTTGTTACTTAAAGGCTGGATTATTGTAACTCCTTATTATCAGGGTGTACCAAGAAGTCAGTCAAGTCGCTTCAGCTGATTCAAAATGCTGCAG